CTCTCTTCTCTTTCTCTCTCTCTCTCTCTCTCTCTCTCTCTCTCTCTCTCTCTCTCTCTCTCTCTCTCTCTCTCTGCTTCCTCTATACCATGAAATGAACAGCTTTTCCTCTGCTTTGCCCCTCTGTCATGCTGCTCTGTGCTGGAGTCAATGGACTAGGAACAGAAACCTCTAAGCTAATGTAAATCTCTCCTCCCTTAATTAGCAGGTACTGAATCTCAGTGATGAAGAAAGTGACTTAAAATGTACAAAGAGTATGTATATTATCCTGGAACTTTAAAAAAAAAGTAGACACCTTTCTATGTGAATATACCCTCTCACAGGTAACCCAACTGAAATAAAATATATAAGAAGTTTTTGAGATGTAAGGTACAGATAAGAAAATCTGAAATGGGGTTTTAACTTGATTCATCCTATTGGGAACATGAACTTTGGGAACTGATACTGGACTTGTGTATCAAGATACACAGATACTTCCCAGAGAACATATCATGCTGCTGTGTCTAAGAATCAGTGAATAACTAGGCTTTCTCTTACAATGTACAAAACATTACTACAAAATGCTGCATAGGAGGCTGGTGGGGTGTAGCTCCATGGTAAAGCACTAGAATGTGTGAGGCCCTGAATTCCATCTCTGGAAGTGTGAAAAGATGCCAGATAAAAGAGGTGATGAGATGCCTGACAAAAAGGAATTTTAAAACTTAAGTAAGAAACCTGGAAGTTCCCAGACAATTGAAGTCGGCTGCAATTGCCTCTGGGTTATGAGGTCCCAGTGTACTGTTCAGAACAAAGCTGCACAAGATTGGGAGGACACAAGATGGCCTGAAAGGATGAGCACAAATAAAGTAGAACATCACAACCAGGAATGGTGGTGCCTGCCTGTAATCCCAGCTCCTGGGGAGGCTGAGACAAAATTGCACATTCAAGGTAACTTGGCCAGACTCTGTCTCAGAAGAAAATAAAAAGGGCTGGGGTGTAACTCTGTGGCAAAGTGCTTGCCAGCACATGGCTCTGGGTTCAGTCCCCAGGACTCAAACAGAATGTAAGAAACCAACAGTCAAAGAACCTGAAATTAACACATTCACAGTGCTTCACATTTGGGGGTGGGGGTGGGGACTTCATCCTGAACAGTTTTGAAGATTTATGGAAAAACATACAAATGGGGGCTCATGAAATGAATTCCACCAGTTTTCTAAAGAAAAGCTTGAGTCTTACGCTCTTTTTTATCATCTGTGCTTCTGTCTGAGCGGTCTTTACAGTTTTCTCCATGTAAATTAGGTAGTTTGGCTTTTGCTCTGGAGCTTCTCACTGTGAAGTGAAACATCTTATTCACCTTTTGATTGTGTATGTTGCAAGTATTTTCTCAGGGTCTGTTGTTTGTCATGTAACGTTGTTTTATGGTATCTTACCCAGAGATTTTGAATTATGAAGTCAAATGTGCCAGTTTTTCCCTTTATAGGGAAGCTCACATTTCTAATAGTCTTTCAATATCAATCTGTAATCCCCAGTCACAGCCAGACTAACTGAAGCAGCAATATACACTTTTATTGAAAATAAATCATTCTAAATTTAAAATGCAAATTTATACTAGCTGCTGATGCCGCTGACTAACAGCATCAATCTTTATGGAGGAAAATAAAATTCTTCACTTAAACTACAAACAGCTCAGAAAACGCTCTTGAAGTCCTAGATAAATGGTGGTTATTTCAGATTGGAAACTGTGGCAAGACTGAAAACCCCTCATTAAAAAGCCCAAGCAGAAACAATTTTAGCTTCTTACTGATATGTCCATATCTCTCAAAGTTTCTTGTCTTTGTCAGCTATTGCTCAAGAGTCTTGCCCCTAAAAATCAAGATACTGTATTATAGGCTGCTATTAACATATAAATATTTGTTAACTTTTATTACCAATTGATTTCTTTGGATGAGCCCATCCATTATTTTGAGTGACTCTGCAGCTCTGAAAAAATTGAGGTCTTCATGGGAAGTCACATTAAGTGGCTCAGGAAAGCCAGTAGTCCCTACAAAGACACAGGATACATAAAAAAGTGATGAGCACTGTGTTAGGGAAGGGAATGATGAAGCAGGGGGAGAGAGGAAAAAAGAGGTCAGGATTGAGAAAAATTTGAAAACTTCTTTCATGTTGTATAGTTGTCTAATTTCTCTGCTATACCAGGAAGGTCAGTAATCTAGATTTGCCTCCCTGGTGACAGATATATAGCAAGTAATCTGAGTAATCTCCCAGGAGAGCTAAACAGTAATGCCAGGTATCAGTGGGGATTCTTTTTCTCTTCATCTCATTGCCTCAGATAGATGGAAATAAGATTGCATCAAGTCTAGAAATACTGTCTGAAGTCAGCAAGGGTCACAAATGGGCAAGCAAAGAGCAGCTGTCATCACCATAAGATAGCTCCAGAAAAGTTACACTATTTTGGAGCACTGATTCTGGAACCAGACCTGTTTGGTTAAAATTCCAACGTTAAGACTTGCCAGTTATGTCTACGGGTAAGCAGTTTAATGTTCAAGATTCTCAGGTTCTCTGCTGGTAAGAGAGAGATAGCAATTACATCTGCCCACAGTGATGCCCAGTGGACCAAAGGAGGCCAGTGGCTTGCACACAGAGCACAGTGTGGTACTAACACAGTCATTAGTACTGGTTTACTTTTAAAAGGTCAAGTTGTGCAGAGTCAGAGTGTGCATCTGTGTGCCTGTTTCTGGAATTCTGAAAGAGTCAATTTTATTACAGGATATGTACGTGAGAACCATAGGTATCTTGGCTGTCAATAGTCTATACTCTGAGCTCCCATGGAGGAAGCATTCTTGCACACCGTGTCCTGGAGCCATGATATAAATATACCTTAATTCACAGGTTGAACAGAACATAGGAGGAAGAAATGAATCAATATTTCATACCTTCCAGGCAGAGGAACCTCACTGCTTTCCACAATCCACAGCCGTAGACATCAGAGCTCTGAGAGCTTTCAGTTTGCGCCTCCTCTGTGAAGGGAGCCACTGTGGTATGATGGAGCCTGTATGGTTATAGCTAAGTACAGAGACATTCCCTGGTTTGCATCCATTCACTTCTGCCATGATGGCTTAAATAACCTAGGGAAGATAGACATGGGCAACAGTCACAAGCAAAAATAGTATCTTTCATCTAAAGGCATTCACAAATTCCAGAGAATTCTATATCATTAAAGAATTTAAAATGCAGATAAATGTATGAGAAAATTTTGCATATCACAAAAATATTAATCATGGGCTAGGTATGATGGTGCATGCCTGTAATCCCAGCTACTTGGGAGCTGATAGCTACTGAGAAAATTAAAAGTTTGAGGCCAGCCTGGGCAACTTAGAAAGACACTGTCTGAAAACAAAAATAAAAAGGGATGAGGATGCAGCTCAGTTGTACAGTGCCCAAGGGTTCAATCCCCAGTACTGCAACAAACAAAAATTCCCTAATAGAATTCCTTTAATACCAAGTTATTCTATCACATTAAAGTGCTATTAATTTACACAAATTTATTGTTCACAGCCTTTCTGATGATTCTGTTTCTTCAGTTTTTATTACTATCATAACTCATATATCAGGTCTTTTGACCTATAGTACCATATGGCAAATTGCATTTGTGTTATATACTTAAAAAGTTTTCTATGTTCTTTCTCAAGCATGTGGACCAATTTCCAGATAAGTCACATGAAATAAAGGTGAGGTTTCTCTTTGACCTGGCCCATTTGTGCTCTCTGTGTGACTGATGGATTCGTTGCCAAGTATCCCTAGCCCTTTGCAGACATGTCAAGAGAGATGACTGTGATCACCTAATTAGAGCAGGATTGAGGGGGGAAAGCTCATGCTGGGTCTCCAAAATGCCTGTGATCACTATTACTAAAGTCCCCAGGCTTTCTCTACTGATGAAAATGTCAACCTCAGGAAGAAATGTCTGCCATGGCCTCCTGAAATACAAGTACAGAGAAACTGGGGAAATATTTTTTTAAAAATCTAATTCACAATCACGGACTATGAACATTAGTAAGAATTTTACAAAGGGCTATGAACTTTTAAAACAATTTCTTTCTTAACTCTCCCAATGGTCACACTAATCAAATAATCACCAACTCTTTTCCCATATGGGCCAAATTCTTTCTATCAAAAATGTGAACAGTGTGAACAGAATCCAGATTCCAGAGTATCTTGTATCTTCCCATTACTACTGTCATTAAGCTTCATTAGTAGCCACTGTCAAATTATTCCTTCCCTTTTTATCTAAACCATCCTGCACCATTAGCTCATGCAGTCAGGCAACATATAGCTTGGCATATGTCTGACTTCTCTTGTGATGGATGATGGGGCATGAAACTGAAGGATTCTTTTTCCCTGGATAGGAAAGTATGCTTGATACACCACATCAGGTGAATAGAATAGGCAACAAGGATGCAGGACTACTTAGCAAATATTTTGATGAGAAGAATGTCTCCAAGAAGTGTTTCTTTGAAACTAAGCAATAAAATATCCAAGAACTGAAATACTTGGGTACTCATATATTTCATTCTAATTATATATGTTAAATGTTTTTCTAAGTAGGGTCCATCTACTTAGAATAGGTTTTATAGTTTACAGCAAATGCACCTCAAAACAAATAATCTATTCTACACCTGAAAATAGGCACACATGGTTCTCCTGGATGCTTTCATTGTTCATTTTACTTAGCCATTCATTCCCAGGAGGCTAGAAAAAACAAAACTTTCTCTACTCAGCTACGCTGGTACTATTTTTCAGCAACTATTAGTGATGTTTCAAAAAGAACAGCTTATCCAATGCACTGCACTTTCCAGTAGGAAGACAGCCCAATCATTAGTTTCTACCCTCCAAATTCACTCTGTACATGAATGCACATCTCCAGGTGAGCAAAACAGAGAAACCCTGGTCATGTTGGCCACGACCCTGTTCCTTCTTGGTACTGTTATCACCTCAGGGATGCCACCCAAGCCTGCCACAATAAAAATTCATCCAGCAATTTTCTCCTGACAGCCTCAGTATATCCGGAGACTCATCTTCAAGTTTGTGTCTCCCTGACACCATCAGAGTACCAGGGAGAGTTTGGGAGCACATGCTGAAAACATTCCAGTGGCTTTCTATTCCACGGATAATCACACATCACATTTTTATTTCAGCTCACAAAAATCCCACAAATTCTTGCCTTCAGAATCTGCACCTTAACTCCAACATATGCCTTCAGCCTTACACTGGCATACTGCCCCTACACCATATGTCCCTTGACATATACACTCCAGGTGAAGAACCTATTTCCTTTATTTCCTTCCTCTTTCTGCCCTCCTTCCTTCCTTTTTTCTTTTGTTTCCTTCCTTTTCTACCTTTCTTTTTTTTCTATTTTCCTTCTTCATTTCTACTCATTGTTTAGACTTTGGTTTAGTTACCAATCTTTATTCCAGGATGTATTCCCTTGATTCCCTAAAGCTGGATCAGATAACCTTTCTGGTGCTCTAAGAGTACCCCAGCCTTCCTCCTCTGTAACTGACTTGATGCACCTTTCTGTGTTGGCAGGAGCTCCAGTCTCCGCTGAGGGCAAGGACTATGTCTGTCTTCTCCACATCGTATCATGGGCCTCGCCAAATGGGAGGCAACAACAACTAGTTGTGGAATAGATGAATCGATGCATATAGCAGCCCTCAGCACTCTGCAGGGAATACTGACTGGATTTAGAAGGAAAGACAGCTGAGTGCCAGATACATATTTAACTAAAAACTCTAGTCTTCATTGCAACAAAGGATTGAAAGAATCGTGAAATGGGTGCTCGTTGGTGAAACTGGTGATGTTCAAAGCAAATAGACTCGCCGAAGTCTTCTCTCACATAACAAAGGCTGTGGTGGTTAGCACACAGGATGGAGGTGGTGCTGTACAGTCCCCCATTTAAAATTTAGGAGCAAAAGAGCACTAGGAAAAATTTCACTGTTATTTTTGCGATAGCAACAGCCCAGAAATCTTGAGGGGAAAAAGTCACACATAATGACTTGAAAAGACAATGGGCTAGATTTTTCAAAGAAATGACAGAAAAATAATAGAGATGAAAAATGACCCTGCTATACCCAATCCTTGGAGAATGGCCTTTATCACTCATTACTATTGCTGTGAGGATCACACACATACATGTTTTTTTTAAACTTGACTGAAATATTTAGCTGCCCAGGGAGAAAGGTTCTTTCATTTTTTTCTTAGACATTATGAAAACAGTTTGTGTCAACTTAAATTGGATTAAAACAAAACATCAAATAATGAGCTATACTTGTCTAGAACAGTCACCATTTATCATTTACAAAAACATAAACATTAGCTGTTTTATGATTTTTAAAGTACCTGATCTGGAATATGTCATTTTATCCAGGCAGAGAAAGTACATTGTGGTATAGAAAAATAAAACAAGGATACCAGTTTTTATTTATAAGGAAATGCAGAGGTTTTCAATAAAACTAACTAAAAACTGATAGGAGGTATTTAAGATGATTTATACTGGCTTTTATTACAGCATGCACATTTTTAGATGAAAGTAATTGCTTATATTGCCTCTTCTTGAACATAAATAATAACATTAGACCATATACTTAATGAACACTAAATAAAACCTATTCATACATTCAACCACTGGAAATGGGAATCAATCTCCAAAAATGCTCCAGCAATGTGAATTCTCCTAATGAAATTTTTGCTTTGTTTAGTTTCATGAGCTAATTGTTTTGAAGGACATCTAACTGAGATCAGAATGTCTGACCTATCAGAGCAGAACACTTCTATCCAATGTGTCATTTATATATGATGTTTGGATCTAACATCTGAAGCACTTCTGCTGCATGGCTTCAGTCCCAGTATAGTAACAATTTCTGCACTTCTTTTCGGTGGGTATAAATAAGCATTTCCATCTAAATTAGAGAGGACCCACTTGCAGAACTGTGAAATGAAAGAGGTCTCAGGAACAGAGCACAGGCAGCACCCTCACCTGTCAAAAGCCTATGCAGAAAAGAACAAATACATGAAGCCCAGAATGAACAGGGAGCAACTAACAGAGTTGAGGATTGAGGAGCCAAGAGAGGAAGGGACTTCCTGGAAGATTCTGGAGAGAGAGTGGTGGTGGTAGGGCACTGTTTGAAGGTTTATTAAACAATCGGTAATTTACCTAACAATGATTTGTCAGAGAAAAGAGTAAAACTTTTCACTGCTGTGCTGCTGATGTCTACCAAAAATAACTAAATGTGACCAGAGTGGCCTATAGTGGAACACTGGCATGGCCTCATGGAATCATTAAAAGAGGACACAGTCTTCCCAATGCTTCTTGAAAGAAAAACTGAATAGATTTACTTTCCTATCATAACAGAATTGAAGTAGCTCAGGATTTATTTCTTGGTTGTACCATCACTTTGCTATTGAATTCTTTATTTCCAGTGTACTGCTTGAATTCAGGGGTGTATTCTGGATGTAGGAGACGCAAACTGTAACCAGTGAATTTGATTCCAAGCAGGTATGGACTCAGAATGGAATAGGTCCAGCTGAGTATGTTGTACAGTGGTCTCTTTGCTTGTTGAGTTGAACAGGCCCTGCATCTATTTTCAAAGTAGCTTCTGTCTCCTCTTGTTTGTCACTTCTCTGTTCACTCTCAGTTGTCTCTTTGGACAAACACAAGTTCCTGCTGACATATAGTCCAACTCATCCATCTTCCTCTTGCAGCTACACTATTTGCTTTTTTGTTTTGTTTTTTTTTAATAGAGTTTATTGGTACAATCTAGGTATACAATACAGTTACATTCATCATTGGGATTCTGTACCTTTACATAATAGGTCTTGATTCTCATTTTTTTCCCCTTGTCCCTGCCCTCCCTTCACCCCCTCCTACCCTCCCCATTTACAAACACTTTATTTCCATTTTTTCAGTTTCTCATATTTTTTCTCTCCATTATTACCTTTCCCCCACCCTTCCCACTTTCCCTACTCCTTTAGCCCTTTACTTCCTATTTCACATTATTAATTATCTCATTAGGATCCTGTGTACTATTATAGTTTTTCACACCAAAGAAACTATTTGGTATTTCAGT